TTTTTTTTTACATTTTTAAGACAGAAAAATGTTGGTTTTTAAAACATTTTCCAAAAAATGTCCCAATAATTTCAGCAACCTATTGGAAATTCATTTATTTTCTTTTTGCAAAATGTTTCCTTCATTTTAAAACCTAAAGTTTGTAATGGCACTGTGTTTATTTAAAAAGGACGTTACTCCTCTGGCATCTATTTATTATAATTTTTTTCATTTCTATTTTATTATTTCTAAAAGGAACAAATAATATGAAACAGAGCAATTTACAGAGAACAGGTAAGTGATCAGTAATATACATTGTCCATTTTTTCCAAAGATCTTCATATTATGCTTGTTGCAACCTTATTATAAAAGTGAATCTTTCCATGCCGTGAATTTCTTCTAAGATGTCCATCTGGTTTTTGACTGTAGGGGGTTTCTGTTTGGACCATTTGTGTGTGATGGCTTTTTTTGCTGCTGCCAACAGAATTTTAATAAGTGAAGATCCTACTTCTGAATCTCTGCTCCCTTTATAAAACTAAAGTATAATATCAAGGTATTTATTATTAAATATACAATATCTTTACAAAATAAAAAAAAGGTCAAGTAATGTTTGCAGCTCTAAACAGTTTTATTAGCTGGACAGAAGTCAAAAATGGCTCTTTATATTGTAATGGTTGCAAATCCCTGATTTAAAGCATTTGCTCTTATGATCTTATTCCATTTAGGATTTAAAAAGAGGCTTTTTTGAGAAAAAAACACTAAAAACAAACCCAATGACTTACCTCATCAGGTGCACCACTTCCTGGGAAAAAGTTGCCGTCGTCATAGCGATGGATGGAGATGTAGAGTACATTCGGGTCGTCGTAGAATGCCTGCTGGGTGCCGTTACCGTGGTGAACATCCTGAGGTTAGAGAGTTAAATTGTGTTTATTTAGGAGGTACAAAACTAGAAAGAAGCTAACCGAATCACTTTGGGTTAAAATGGGGCTAATAAAGAGACGAACCCAGTCCACGATGAGGATCTTGTTGACGCTAAGTCTCTGCTGCAGGAGTTTGGCTGCAATCGCCACCGAGTTGAAGTAACAGAAGCCCCTGAAACAGAAGCAAAGACAGGATCTGTCAAAAAAAAAAAAAAACACACTCAAAAGATCCTTTTTCTTGTTTGTACAGCGATGCTTTCCAGACTATGATGTGTAAAATAAATCCAGCTGGTAGAATTAAGTCATTTTAGACTTTATATGCACATAAAATCAATGGTTATTGTCATTGCTCTTCCTGCTCAGAGACTGCAGTTTGCATATGGAAGGATAAATAAGCGCCTTTGAGTGCGTTGCAGTGACGGCTGTAGCCTTACATGGGAGTGCTTTCCTCTGCGTGGTGTCCAGGAGGGCGGACCACTGCAAAACCATTCTGGTAAAAAAAACACACGAGGAGGAAGAAGCAAGGGTCTGTTAACCACAGCAGCACTGATCTCCACTTATAGTGCAACAAATGAGCAATAAAGCTTTTAAGAAGAGTTTATATCTCATATTAAAACCAAAAGATTAACTGCTTGCTAAGGATTTTTAAAGCTATCAGCAGGAAAAAACGTTACCTTTAGCTCTCCGGTCGCCACTTTGAAAACAAGCTCCACAACGGAACCGACGGCGAGCCGAGCCGCGCTGGAGGAATGGACCTCGTTCCAAATGGTGTCGCTGTCCACCTAAAACCCCCAATGAAAGACATTAAAGCATAACTCAAATGGACCGAGAAGGATGAAGATGTAAGCAAAGTGACTGACCCCGACTCCTCCGCACGGCAGTCGCACAAACATGGGAGTTATGGAGCCTGTAGATCAAGGAGGAGACGTTATGATGGAAGGAAACGGCAGCAGCGTTCAGCCTTAATTTTAAAGTCTTAGCATATGAGGCTTACAGTCGAGTTTCTGCCGTAGCGGGTTGGTTCCGTACAGCAGGACGTGGGCTTCAGAGTGGACCGTCTGCAGCTCCTCCAAAGTGGCCTTCCTCCCACGGATACACTAAACAAAAACACGCCATAAGATGAATCCAGCCCTCATATGTTTCTGCTTTTAATTGATGCTTTCTCTGGAGGCGAGTTCTTAAGGCTCACCTCACACTGAGCTCTGAGTCCCGTCTCCTGCAGCCGCGACCAGATGCTCTGGATGCGCCCAGCGTGCTCTGGATGGCTGTTGGTGTTTCCACACATACACTGGTGCTTCTGCATCAGGGAGTCGTACACCAGGCCTGAGGAGATGCACATTTTTTAAGCTTTCAAAAGTGTTAGGAAACTTTAAATGATCCAGGCTGAAATTCACACTTCTTTCTATAAACCAGGGGTCTGCAACCTTTGGCTCTTTAAAAACCTCGATAAGGGACTAAATCAATATAAAGAACCAACTAATGTAAAATTATATATATATAATAATGTTTGATTTACATTTCACAACAGATTGACATTAAAATGAACAGATCTGTGCTTTTTAGATTTATTTTTCCTGTCATTATCTTGGAAATTATGTGTTAAAGATTGTTTTTAACAACAAATAATATCCTATGGAGGAAAAGCTATGCTAAGGTATTGTGAAAAGTTTAGTTTTTCCTTTTTTTAAAAGCTGAAAATACAAGTTAACTGTTGATTTTTTTTAAGGCACACCGCAGACTTTGTGACCTAAAGAGTTGGAACATATGAGTTATTTCAAATAATTCCTCCGGCCAATATACATCCCCTGACACTATGAATGCTAAGAGCGGGGCTTCCCTCTTGAAATACCGGCTATGTAAGGTAGGAGAAGACGTACCGTCATTGGCCAGGTCATGTGATCTGGAAAAAGCTATCGCTTTATAGACGCAGGCTCTTATATAGGCTTTTGCTCTGCTATGTTTCCCCCTGTTCAACTACAGGTCATCGTTGAAGCAAGGAAAAACCTTCTAAGGAGGCTAAAAAGAGTAGCCTGACGTAGTCCGACTCAATTCTAGTCAGAATATGAGTCTGATACTGCTCCATAGAGCTATGATTATGGGACGTGTTTCGAACGAACCAGGAAAAAAAATGCCTCTGCACTCAATTGGATAGACCTACAACCAATAAGAGCAACGGAGTGCGTGACGTATGTTAAGCGAGGCATAGTTGTTGTCCACAAAAATCAAAGCGTGCAGTTTCACGCCTAGAATAAGAAGATGAGCCTTGATCGCGTTTCTCTGTTCCTCTTTTAAAATTAATTTGCTGTCAATATCTTCTAGAACAGACCTAATAGCAGAATCTACTCACCCAAACTCTCCAGCGGCAGCCATTGTTGTTGTCACCCAAGCGCGCATTGGTCACGTGGTTGATTACGTTACTGTTGGTCATCTGTCCATCATCGTATAAAGCCCGCCCTGACAATTTGATTGGATCGCCTGACAGTGGGCTATAAGACTCGCGCTACTATAGAGCAGAGCCAGACCGAACTTCCCCGAACTCAAACCTTGTGGGCGGGACTAAGTTCGGACTGGCACCCAGGCTATAAAAAGAGAAAACGGGAAAGGGATTTTTGAAAAAAAAAGTTTGTTTGTTGACGCAGCCTGAAAGAAGAAGCCGGATGTAAAACCGATCCTCCTTACTAAACTTTAGGAGCACTAGATGTGAAAGTTCCAGATTGAGCGCCCCTAGTGGCCAAAAGTTACACAGCGTCCCTTTAAATAGCAACAGATTAAACTGTTAACTAATAAGTTTTTTTATTAGAAGTACGGCAATTAATCAGATTAATTATTGACATAATCACCAACTAATTTAGTAACTGATTAATCGTTGGCTGGAGTAAAGACTGTAAAATATGCCTTTTGGAAACAGAGCAACCCAGTTAAAGCAGTAATTATATGAAAATTGCAACAAAAAAAAATATGTAAACATTTTGTATTTAAGATGAGATATTTAACATCTGTCATTATGCTCTATCCAGAACTCTTCAAGTGAAAAGTTTTAGTTTCAAATGGTTTAATTTCGCAAAAAGTCTTTTGCAATCTGATTATTAATCGATTAATTGGAAAAATAATCGACAGATTAATTGATTTGTAAAATAATCATTAGTTGCAGCCCTAAGTAAAAGATTATATAATATTTGCATCTCTAAATGAGTTTTAACTCCCTGGACTCAGGGAAAAGGGACCTTATGGGTTTTAAATGTACAGACCCCTTTCCTGTTCTAAGCCGTTGGAAACTCAGTGGAAGTGAAGCAAAACAAATATAAGTAGGTAAAATGATAAAACTATTAGCTATAAAGATTGCATTTACTGCAAAACTTTCTCCAAAGTTGTTTAATGTCTGATCTGCTGACCTGTGGTGAAGCGAGGCTTGACGGGGGGATCCTGTGAGGGGACGCTGATTGGGAAGGATGAAGCGGAGGCCGGAGAGGATTGGGCTCTGGAAAGGGGCCTGTGTCCCGGGAAGGAGATGGACAAGCCAGCGGCCTCCATGGAGGCCTGATAGTTCCTCAGCTGGTGGATCCGCTGCTGCTCCAATAACAAAGCCTGCTGCTCAGGGGAGAAAGTGAAAAAAAAAAAAAACAGGGATTAAATTATTCCAATGTAGCTATAAAAAAAAAGTTTAAAAAAAAAGTTACTGTATTTACAATGAACGGCCAACAGATGGCAGTCAAAACAAACAAAATTCATGCACACATGTTGGATCTTCCTCCTCTACCTGTCGGAAGAGCAGTTCCTGTTCCACCTGCCGCTCCCTGTCTCTCTCCCGCTCCCGGTGCTGCTGCAGCGCCTCCTCCTGCAGCTCCTGCGGGTCTGGGGGCTCCTGCTTTATGGTGACCCCTGGCGGCAGAACTCCCGCATCCTGGTGTTCCCTCAGCTCCTCCTCCGTCTCCTCCGGGTGGCTCTGGTGCTGCCGCCCCACGGGCGACTCGCCGGGCTTCCCTATCATCTGCAGGGACATAAAAGAGATGATGAATTTCTCTTCATAATCCAACAAATCCCATCCAGCGCAAAAAATCAAATTCCTTGATGAATCATTCCCCCCTCCTTTTTTTTTTCTAAAGCATTCTTCATTTAACAAGCTTAATTTGGATTACTCAGTGGGTTCGGTGCCTGGCTCCTCTCAAACCTGTCTGTTTCTAATTGAATCTGAGCTGCCTCTCCGCTGACTGGACGACAGGGCGGAATGTGTGTCTCGCTGATCAGAGACATTCCACACTCCCCGTTGCGGCGCTTGCCATCGACTCGTCCCAGGCCCCCCGCTGTTAACCCCGGTGGCACTCCACTCTGCCATTGATTCAGGCTCCACCGACACGGATCATTCGGAAAGCTTGAGAGCACTCGCCCTCGTGGGCCGTGGGTGTTTATTGCAAGAGAGACAAGTGTTTGTGTGAATTCTCAAGCGTGGGCTACAGGTGTGTGTGTGTTCCCAGAGCTACAAGCCTCTCGGGTCCACTGGCTCCACTCCAAGGGACACCAATGACGTCAGAGTATTCATTCAAACCCCCCCCCCCCCCCCCCCCGGGTCCACTGGCTCCACTCCAAGGGACACCAATGACGTCAGAGTATTCATTCAACCCCCCCCCCCCTAGCTTCTCTTTGAGTCTCCTTTGCATCCAAACAGACACTCTGCTCTCCCCCGTCCCCCACTGACCCCTTTTGCTCCACTTTCTCAGAAACCTGCTCTTATTATCTGATTCAATCAAGCCCAGTCCCCCTCAGAAATGCTTCTGGATGCAGAAGACACTTGTTTTGTACTTTTCTAACAATCAGAACCGCTTTTTGCAGGGTCATTCACTTCCTGTCTAAAATATGCATTCATTCTTTTTGGTTTATTTTAAATTCTTTCAATTTTTTCTTTTAGTTTGCAAAGCCTTAATGATGTTGTTTAGCACTTTAACAAATAAAAGCGTGAAAAGTGAGAAGATGGGGGGTGCGTCCATCAGTTTTGCACATCAAGAGGGTAAAATTAATAGTAGATGCACACTGATCAAAACATTGATTTTCATGTCTTTCTATATATTTTCATTTGGATTTAGATTTTTACTTTGACTAGACCGTTTGCATTTCTTTTATGCTCTGTTCTAGAACAGTTAAGTCTAATCTCACCATTTTTTTTTACTAGCATTCTCCTGTATTGATCAGGACAAACATCCCCACAGCATGATGCTTCCACCAGCCTGCTTCACCTTGGAGGTGGAACTTCTAAGTGTTTTTCCTTTAATATTGAAGTCGAAATAGTGAGTAGGAGAGCAAACTTTCAACCAACAGGTTCTCCATCCAGCTGAGGATCTCTATAGCACATTTACAATTAGTATCTTGGCTGCCATGCTGATTAATGCTGCCCTTTTATGTTTTTTTTAATCACTAATCAAGGTTTGAGTTGAACAGAGTTGTGTTTCCTGTTTATCCTGATGATGTTTGTTCACTAAGAACAGCCGGATTTACACTTAGATCAAATATGGTTTTTAAAAATGGTTTTGTTTTATGTTCCAATTCATAGTAAAGCAATATTTTGTGATGGTTTCTCACATAAAATCACAATAAAACATCAAAGTTTGAGGTTGTGAGGAGAAATATGTGTAGAGACATTCAAGCTGTATGAAAAACGTCGCAAGGCACCAAATTTGATAAGGTGATCCTGTCTTTTTTTTTTACTTTTAGAAAGCATTTCACTATTTTGGGGCTGCATCATCTGATGCAGTGAGTGGGACTTACTCAAGCTTTTAAACCAGCTTTGGTGAAATTTTCAGAGATGCTCGACATGACAAATATGTTATTTAAAGTACTCCATCTCCAGAACTGATACCATTCCCCTTCTTCCACATAGAGAACTGAAGCTGTTCGTCAAAGACCCTGTTATGAACTGTGATCACAGATCAGAGGAAATATTGCTCCAGATGGAGACTCTCTTCTGATGTTCAACGAGGAATGGCTTCAGTCTGGGCGCTCGCCCAAAGTCCTGTTAGGATAGAATGATTTTTCTCCTTTAAGGTTCATCTACAGCTACGGAGAAACCAAGCCATGTTTGGGAACAAAATAAGATGGGATTTGTTGATATGGAACCAACATGACCCAGTTATAGCGGTTCTGTTAGCAGGAATGGGCCAAAAATCAAGCAAATGATAGAGAGAAGCTTCTGGAAGGAACCTCAAAATGTCTGATCCGAGGTTTAACATTATTTCCACCTGATGCGAAGCAAATGTTTGTAAATCCCTCAATTTGAAAGACAAATGATTGAATTATTATTTTTTTTTAGCAAATAGAGGTAATTGATCTAATCCTAACTAACCTAGCTGCATGGTGAGAAGCAGTTTCTTATGGACTAATTTCCATTTTTTTATCTAAAGGTTTGACTGAGACATTTAATAATCATCTGATTTTGTTGCTTTTAGATTTAATATGCACCCATCAAAAAGAGCAAATTGATCTTATAGATTTAGGCGAAAATGAAAACATGACCTCATATATCGAGGGGAAACACACATGTTCGGGCATCACGTTTTTTTTTTTTTCCCAGAGGTGTTTGTGTAAAAAGTTGCCCGCGGTGAGCTTGAGAAAAAAAAAAGAAAAACATATGCGAGGGAGGGAACGTGGGAGCGGAGAGCGGGGGAGGCGGAGGTGGAGGAGAGGAAATCCCTTGTTTCATCCACCCACATCTCCTCCGGCGAATCCTCTGCTCTTATAGGTAAAAGCCATCAGGAGGCGACGAATCGCTCGCTTCCTCCCTGCCCATATAAGGCGAGGGTTTCCGCTCTGTTGCCGTGGCAGCAAACGGTTATCTCGCACCGACCACAGTCAGGGAAACGGGGATGTTAGTGTTCGTCACACACAGATTTGCACGAGCGTGCCGGTTCTGCTGTACATGTAAAGCCATACCTCGTTCCACCTACTCACTAACAGAAATACTACAAAGAGAGGGAGGAAAAAAAAGTGGACTACTTCGCACACATCCATGGATCACGCCTGATTGGCTGGGCTTTTGGCTGCTGCCTACGCAAACTACGACACTCTGGAGCTCACAGCCCTGATAATTATCTGTTTATTTCCCTGCAATGCCACATCCACCGGGTTTTACCAGGGAGTCAGCCTCTTTAACCCCATTCAGTGACACACAAAATCATTTCTTTTATTTTATTATTATTCTGAAGATCCCCAGAGCTCAGGAGAGAGTGAGGCAGGAGGTGTTGGGAATGAGAGCTTCCAGCTGTTACCTTGTTGAGGTGGAGCTGCTGCTGCTGGAACTGCTGCTTGTGCTTCTCCAGGAACTGCTGGTGCTGTTGCTGGACCACCAGCTGCTGCAGGGCCAGAGCCTGAGCGTGGGCTTGTGCGGCGGTCCCCTGGGGCAGTGGTGCGGACTGGGTCCTCCCGAGGGGCCGGTGCTGCCTCTGCAGCTTGGCCATGGATGCTGACGACATAGATATGCCGCTTACGCCTGGGAACACACACAAATGGAAGGAGGGGGGGGAGGAGGCTTATTGCACCGAGTCCACAGAAGAGATGGATTAGATTAACTGCACAGCTGCAGAACAATTTGGATGATTTATGATCTGATCTGAACATTCTGCCGAAAGATGTTAAACTACTAATACTGACAGACTGCAGCTTTTTATCAGCCTTTTGTTGGAGAAAGATCTGATTTGTTCTGGAAAACAATAAGGATGCAGCAGGCTGTGATTGTATCAGGCTCCCTGAACATTTTTCAATGGACGGCTAAATACTGCCACAGACTCAAGTTTTGTTGAGTTTTCACTTTGAAGGAAGGAAGGAAGGAAAAAAAGGAAGGAAGGAAGGAAGGAAGGAAGGAAGGAAGGAAGGAAGGAAGGAAGGAAGGAAGGAAGGAAGGAACAAAGTGAGTGAGAAGGGAAGAAAGAGAGGGAGCGAGGAAGGAAGGAAGGAGTGAGTGAGTGAGTGAGTGAGTGAGGAAGGAAGGAAGGAAGGAAGGAAGGAAGGAAGGAAGGAAGGAAGGAAGGAAGGAAGGAAGGGAAGAATGGATGAAGGAAAGGAAATGAGGGCACATAGGGTAAAGGGAGGATGAAAGAGAGAAGAAAGGATGGCCCTGCCATTGCGATTAAAGACCCAAAACAAAAACTATTCCCCGAACGATGCTACCAGGATCTACTAATACTACCTTAAACTCCAGACTGCATGTGAACCCTGCTTTATGCGCCTCAATGTAACACAGATAAACTCAGTTGTATTGCATTTATTATAGCAGATGTCAACACCAGGACACATACTGTGTTGAAACACAATGATGGCAGCATCATACTATGGGACACTTTTACTGTAGAAAGGAGGCCAGTTAATGAAAACACTTACTGTAGTTGTAGCAGAACTACAGCTATAGCAGGGATGTGATCAAATGGGGGAGGAATATTTTGCAAAGCAATATGCTATATAATTTGATTTCTGCAAAAATCACTGGATCTTAAAGGTAAACCTTTTAAAAAAAATCCCATTTAAATATTTGATAATTTCCTACTTTCTGGATCGGTGTTGTTGAACCTGAGATTGGTTAGCAGATGCATCTGTGAACCCAACGAGCAGAACCATCTGTGCTGCCATACTGCTTCTCCTCCATTGTGACCATCCGAGCCGAACGGCATCTCAAGGCCGTTTGCGGCTCGGCACTGCGGCGAGACAAGCGCGAGCGGCAAACCTTAATCGAGGCTGTTAAATGATGTGAGGAGTTTGACTACTGTGCAGAATGTCTGCTGCTGCATTACGGGGCTGTATAAAGCCTGCTGATGCACAGCTGCATCGCTGCAGAGATGGAGAAAAAAGAAAGAAAGAAGGAAACTACAAAGTTTTAACAACTTTCTATTGTCGGATCAGAATTTTCCCACATCTGGGGCTCTTGGAAGTCCTTCTCAGCTCTTGTCCTGCGTGTGGGCGTCCACACGGCCCCACCGTGCGTGCGTTTTGTTGCCTTTTTTTTATAAACGAGCAGAAAATGCTCCTGTGTGCGTCTGTATGTGCGTCACAGCTCTTTCAGCGCTAATGCCTGCCTGAAAATAGAAGCTATGTTTTTGTGTCTGTGACTGAGCTGATGGGAAAGGGCACACAATGCACCCATGTCAGACTCTCATAGCATACGCTGACATATGAAAGGAGCTCATTAGTTAGCGCTAATGAATGGACGTCTGTCAGCGAGACGGGGTTACAGAGCAGCGCACATCCCCTCTGAGTGCTAAAACGCTTTGCTTTTTTTTCTAAATGCTTCGCTGTTGCATTCACAGATTTCTCCTTATTTCCTTTAATTAACATCAGTTTTACATTTTCAATCCATGCATTTCTAGAATAAATTTCCACATTGCATACCTTTACCAGCTTGGTTTTATTATAAGTATTTATCCCAAATCATTTAAAAATAAAAACATATTCTAACTAACTTTCACTTCTGCCTCACATTAAAGGGCGATTTCACTCATTTTCTTTCAAGCATAGATGCTGATCCATGTTATTATGTTAGAAAAGGACACTAATGTTGTCCAGGTTGAAATCTTCTAGGTTTTGTCAGTGATTAGAACCTCAAAAAAGATAAGAAAGTTGTAAAGTAACAAAACATAAACAATGAATGCCATTAATTAGGACTCTTAAAAATATATCTGTTTGTGTGACAATATCCAATAAAGTTTGCTTTGAATTTTTGACAAAGATTTGGTGGTGATTGAAGGATGCAAGGGAAAAAAAGGAGGACATGGGGAAAAGGAAGGAAGATGAAAGGATTATAACCAGACAAGGAGTGGGAAAAGATGGTGGTATGGAAAGATGAAAAAGAAAAGAAAGAGAGGAAGGGTGGATTTAAGGGAGAAACTTAGGCAATGAAAAAGCAAGGCCACAGATAAGGATGGAGGGGTATGATAAAGGAAGAAAAGGAGGAGGAAAGGATGAAAATCCTCTTCAATCAATGAGAAAAATGTTTTTCCAAATTCCAGACCTGCATAACGGTGAAATTTAAATTCCTGCTTAATGTTCCAGACGGCAAAAAAAGGAGCCGATCTAGACGGGGAAAATGATCAGCGTTTCGTTTTTTTCCATCTTTAAGGCCCTCACCTGTCACCAGAGGGCTCTGTGCAGGACTCTGCTCCATGAGAACCATGTGCTGCAACAGGGGGCTGTGAGCGCCGTGGCCCCCAGATCCTCCATCTCCTAGGTAGGGGCTCAAGTGGCCGCCGGAGAGAAACGGAGGGCTGAGGGAGAGGGCTGGTTGGAGGCCCCCATCCTGCTGTGCTGAGGTGACCTGAGAGAAAAATAACAACATTAAAAAACAAGAAATTAAACTGCAAAAGAAATGGCTGCAGAGTCAGACGGCAGGCTTATTTCCTCCTTACGTTCGAAGCAGCGGTGGCGGTTGCGGTGGCGGGCAGCCCTAAAGTGATGTTGGGTAGGGACGGGGAAGTGTACAGGGACAGCTGGTTGATGGAGCCTTGCTCAGCACCGCTGCACAGCCTCTGGGCCAGAGACGCCTAGCAAACACATTTAAATCATTTGCATCATGAACGTGGAGAAAAAAAAAACAACAGAACAAAAACAAGACACAGAGAAGCGGATGTCCACGCATGGAGAGAGACATTTGCACCCTCTTGGTTTTATAACATTGTCACAGCCACAAGCCTCCTCCACCCTCCCTCAGTGTCCCTAAGGGCTTCCGCAAATAGCATCACGCCAGCTCCTCAAGCCTGTCTCCCCGTCTGGAGCCCCATCACCTCAAGATGCCTCGCTCAGAGCCTTTGTATATGCAACAGCCTGAAATGTTTGGGAGCTAGAAATCAGCACCATTAGGAGAGCGCTTTCACGAGAGACACAAATCTAATCTTACAGCTCAATGTCTTACAGCTAGTTTTATTCACTCCTCATTTTATACTCTGGAAAAAAACATAATTTAGCCGCAGAATGTATTCTGATGGGATTTCACAAGTTAGACGATTATAAGGCGGTGGGTAATTGTGGAAATTATTTCAACACTTTTTATGGAAGCTTAGTTAAAAGAAGACTCGCTGTGATATACCTCCATGTTGTTGGCGACTGACACAGTGATGCCGTTCTCATTGGGGATGTTGTTGGAGCTGTTGTTCGGGGAGCTGGGGCCGGAGCCGGGGGCGCTGCTACATGCAGAGTCTGGGATGGACAAGGAGAAGAAGACAAATCAGATCCACCACAGGAGACTGGAGCAAAACTCTATAACCTCCAGGTTCCTGGTCTCTTCCTCTTTACCCGCCATGTCCAGGGAACGTTTCTTGGCCGTAGTAATGGGGCTGTCTCTGCGGCGGAGCAGCGGGCTGCTTCTGCGCTCGCTGACTTTCTGCTTCAGCCGGGAGCGCAGCTTCAGGTTGGGCTCCGAGGCTGGAAGGAGAAGAAAGGGAGAACAGCTGTCATTTATCGTTGTTAAGGTTTGACATCAAATGATCTGGTATCTTTAGGAAGACCATAAAAATTGTGGCTCGACCCCTTAGATACATGATGGCAGTCAGAAGCAAGGAAGGAAGGAAGGAAGAAAGAAAGGGAGTGAGGGAGGGAGAAAGAAAGTAAGTGAGCGAGGTAGGAAGGAAGAAAGTAAGTGAGCGAGGTAGGAAGGAAGAAAAAAAGTGAGCGAGGAAGGAGGAAAGAAAGTAAGTGAGAGAGGAAGGAAGGAAGGAAAAAAGTAAGGGAGCGAGGAAGGAAGTAAGAAAGAAAGTGAGCGAGGTAGGAAGGAAGAAAGAAAGTGAGCGAGGAAGGAAGGAGGAAAGTAAGTGAGTGAGGAAGGAAGGAAGAAAGTAAGTGAGTGAGGAAGGAAGTAACACAGAAAGTGAGCGAGGAAGGAAGACAGGAAGGGAGTGAGGAAGGAAGGAAGAAAGAAAGGGAGCGACAAAGGAAGGAAGAAAGGGAGGGAGGGAGGAAGTAAGTGAGCGAGGAAGGAAGACAGGAAGGGAGTGAGCCAGGAAGGAAGACAGGAAGGGAGTGAGCCAGGAAGAAGGACAGGAAGGGAGTGAGCCAGGAAGGAAGACAGGAAGGGAGTGAGCCAGGAAGAAGGACAGGAAGGGAGTGAGCCAGGAAGGAAGACAGGAAAGGAGTGAGCCAGGAAGAAGGACAGGAAGGAAGTGAGCAAGGAAGGAAGGAAGGAAGGAAGGAAGGAAGGAAGGAAGGAAGGAAGGAAGGAAGGAAGGAAGTGAGTGAGGAAGAAAGTGAGCGAGGAAGGAAGGAAGAATGTGAGCAAGGAAGGAAAGAAGGAAGGTTCATATTCAAATATCAGACTCTTCCAGACATCGCAAATCCCTCTCACATAATCAGACCAACTCTATAGTAAAGGAGGTTTGAGCAGAATTCTTTTTTTTTTTTTTTTTTTTTTTGGGGGGGAGGTTGTAACATGCAGGTCTGTGTTCACACAATGCCGGTTGTTATCTTCCCACGCAATGTTAAGACTAATTACAAAATCAACAAAACTCCCTGAGGAAAATGTCTAGTAATAATGCACAGTGCCACGTTTGATGAAACTAAAGAAAGCATGACAGTCAGGCACGGTGGTGGAGGAGTTGTGATTCTGGCTGGTTTTGTTGCCCGCGGTGCCTAAACACCTTGCTATCATTGAGTCAATTATCGACTCCTCATTGTAGCTGAGTATTATAGATTAAAATGTGAGGCCATCTGTCCAACACCAGAAGCCTGGCTGTAACTGGGTCATGCAAGCAGTGATGCAAAATTTGGATGGAGAAGATTGGACCAAACATAAAGCCCTACTGAATCCTGGGGTTTTGTTTCTTTCTTGACATACATAGATCTGCACTTTTGGCCCAACAGTTGTTTACTAGTTATGATACTATTGGATGTGTTGTTGTTTTTTTTTTTACATTTAATATTACAATACCAGGAAAGACTGAATTATTGTAATTTTTTTTTTTTCCCTAAAGCAACAACCTGACAAGCTTCCAGCTTAGGTTCTGCACACGTATCTGTTATGGAGCACCTTCCACAAAGCTGCCCTGTTATTAAAACCTCTTTGCAAGACAAACTGCTACACGCTGCTGTTCATTTAGCCTACAATTCATCCCTCCCACTGAGATGCTTCTGAACAAGCCAAATTCATATTTTCCCAAAGATGAGCTAAAATGCAATTAGCTCCAATTTGGGAGCCGTGTCTGACTTGCCTACATGGCATTTTAGTCTTTTGTCTGGGCTGTCATGGACTTGTGAATGGAGACAGGGAGAAGGGAACGGCATGTCACCTTGGCTAGCCCCGCGGGGCACTAATGCTCAGTTTATTTTGTCCAGACATTCATCGGCCTGGAATCTTTTCATTATTCATTATCTAATTTTTGGACATCAAACTCAAAAACCCACATTACAACACAACAGGATTCATCCGCCACAGAAATTTTCTCCGCTAGAAAATTGAGAATGTCAGAAAGCTGCGGGGAAATCTCCTTTTATCGCAAACAGTCGTGGATTTGGTCTCATTTCCAGGGGCAGGTAAAAATAAATGTGATGAAAAGAGAGAAGTGTGAAATATGAAGTGTGAAGGTACAGTAGCACCGAGAGGGACAGAACGCTCCTTCCAGTTGGAGTCAAACCAATTAATGTAGACAGGAGTCTGCTTGGGAAGCCAATTTACTGCAACTCTAGTAAAGGGTTGCAGATTTTTTATAAATCGATTAAGGCAGCGACAGAGACTTTTCTTTTCAGCAAAATCAAAGGTTAAAAATTCTGTAAAGTTGAATTTATTTGACAAATAATAAGAACAGAAGTGTGATAAAGTATTTGCCCCTTTACAGACTTTTTTTTGCATCTTAGTGAAATATTATTAATCCGGCCCCAAGATAGAATTTAAAAGGATTATTAGAACTAAACAGAAAAACACAAGACACTAAATTGTTTAGTGTCATGGCACTAAATGTTTTAAAGTTTTTCCCTACAAATTAACCCTTTGCAGCATTTGTTTCCATCCAAAAATAGTAAACATTAAAAATGAATGAGACTCAAGCAAACATACCAGACGTGTCCAGATCATTTAAAGAAAGCAAATGAGGCCCCGCCCCCCAACTTCAAAAATGGCAATAAGTTTGAAACATTAAAAAAAGTATTTCTTTTTTTTTTTCTATAATAGATTTTTTAGCAAACATTTTGAGGTATAAGTTTTCTTTTCAACAAAGTTCTTATTTTAGCTTTATATCTTATTTTTTCAACCCAAAAATTAAGGTTTAAATTAGTAGTTTTTTTATCAATTTTATGGCCCAAATTTAGCTCCATATACCTCAATCTAACGTCCATAACATTACAGCCAGATTGATTTCAAAGGAAGTATTAAACAAAACAGATTTATCAATCCTTCTTACTTAATTTTAGTTGGTATCTGCACAGAAAATGGAACAAGTGAACATGCAACAAAAAAGCGAGAAAAAAAAATAAAAAATGTTTTTCTTACTAAACTAGGGCTAAAATTCTTCCAGGACTCTGGAACTGGAAGCAAAAGAAGCTTATCAGAGGCTATTTAGTGCCTTTTACATAACGCTTGAAAATTTGTTGACGCCTTGCTGTGAAGTGATGCTTTAATATGCTAAATAGGAAGGTATTCTAGAAAATCCCTCATGTTGAATTTCTGCTGGTTTGAACAGACACACATCAAAAAAAGTCAAAGATAAAAGTTATCTCTAAAGTGCAATCAGGTCTGATTTCATCCAAACTCCCTAGAAGCTTGTAGCATCCTTAAGCAGACCTAATTTTCCCTGAATCTGATCACAAGACAGCTTCTATTAGCATGCAGAAGAGATGAAACAAAGCCACGTGACTGACAGGGACGATAATTAGCACCCGGTAAAACACAAGCGTTTGGTTTCTGTTTCAGCAGTGGGAGAAACACATTTGAAAGAAGAAAATGATCCGGCGTGACAGGATCCCTGATGGTCACAGCAGAGATGTACTCAAAGCCAAGTGGAATCGATCCAGAAAATGTCAATACTTGCGAAAAAGAGGTTTTCTCTGTTATCTGAGACGACTGAAGGGAAGATGACACAGTGGGATATTTACAGAAATTCAACCGATGCTAAACAATGCTTAATGGAGAAAACAACAATAAAGATTTAATCAAAACAGTTAATTCGTGGGAATGCACTTTTCCTGACTTATCTGCATAATTATGCTGCTGGAGAACTAATAGACCTTTTTCCTCCCACACAATCTCCTTATTTCACCCCAATACTCTCCTTTAGGCATTACTTGTTATCCTAACGATTACTTTTTTTTAAATTTATGTGTTTTTTTTATCTCTAAGAAATAAGTATCCCCCACCCTACACTACGGCCACTAACTCTGTCTCTCTTTTATGTTTTTCCTTCATAGAAAGTAAACCTGTCTCAGTGCTTCTGCGCTATTTTGTGGGACGGATCTATATTTGGAGCTCCTACACCATTAACTATGGCTTGTTTGTTTATTTTTCCCCATAAAAGGTAAGCCTAATTCAGTGCTTCTACTTTTTATCTAGGTCTATCTTGTTGACAAATTTATCTACTCTTCCATTTAACCGTGCTCTAATATTGCATTTCTTTTTACCTTTAGAAAGTGCAGTTCTCTTATATTTAGCCAAATCTCTTTCCTTGTCGCAACCTATGAAATACAGCTGGTAATAGAAACTGTCACTCTTAGTTTTTATCTCATAAAGAAAGTAATCCTAAGCCATTGAGTCTTGGGCTAAGGCTAGCTTTAAAAAATGTTTTCCTTTTTCAAACGGTTCGGTTTTTCAGAGGGTAGTGTAAATAGGGCAATAGAAAGCCATTGAGCGTGCTAATATGCTTAGTTTTACCATTTTTCCTGGACTGGGCTGTTAATGTTAATGGAGCTGAATTTACTAATGATGTGGATTTTTGTTGGATTTATTAGTGACTGTCTGGTTTAGCCCTGTTTTATTTATTTTTTTTTATTAATTGGATCTTTTCTGCATTTATTTCCAACATTATATCTACAAACTATGTTTTTTTATGTTTAACATTCAGGACCAGTGATTGCAAGTTGCTTCCTTACCATGACCTTTATTAGAAGGGCCTTTCTATATTATATAACTCCATTGACAAGCTGGCCATTGTTGCGATCCGGTCCCAATGGGCTTCGGAAAGCTGTACATTCAGAAGAAAGGTGCCCTTCAATTATAGTGGAGCTTGATGCTTTTTATTTTTTGGGGCAACAGTGCATGGCCGGCGCGTACATATAGGATTGGAGAAACTTTGTGCAATATTATTCGAGTAGAAGAAGTCCTACAACTCATGCTTGCTGTGCCGGGTGCAGCCTGCTTAGCTCTGCTTCTATCAAAGAGCACTGTGAGTCTGAGGGCCTCACGCTTTTCCAGCCCTGCTACGTCTCTCTGAGGCATCTCTGTGTGTGTAAGCACACAGGGCATTATTCATGGGATGCTCTCTCACCCCTCGCTGTGTGATATGTAGGAAAGGTTAATGGCCCTAGGCCTCTATCTGGATGATACTGTCGATTTTCTTTAGAAGCCCCCTTCTTGTCACGCAAAAATAAGTTTGTTCCGACTCAGTCGCTGGTATTCTCCGGTGGCGTTTTCAGTGGAGACAACTTTAAAAGCCACATGACTGATCATAAAACATTTACAGCCAGTCTTGTTTTTAGTGCAGACATTGTCCGAAAACACAGAATGGAGGATGTTCTTTTTTCGTTTTTGTTTTTTCAACCGTCACTGGAAGTCCTGGCTTTCAGTATCTGACTTTACAACCTGGCACTGATATAAAAGGAGGGGCCTCTAAACTATCCCGAGCTGGGATTACCATAAGTAAACTCCACAAAGCACGTCATCGCTGTTGGCAAATATCAGGGTGGCACAGGTTCTCTTCACTCCCGGCAACAGAGCACAATCCATGGCATTATAAAAATCCAGTGGCACTATATGACGATCTTTTTCGCCTAGTTTTTTTTCCCTCATAGAGCAGATTTATTTTATGAGATCATTGTGCCGCATGATTTATTTCAAATCAACCTCAAAAGCTTTTGTTTTCTGTGCTATAATCTTCCCTTTCACTGCTGCTGAAAAGAGACCTCCAACCTACCTGCCCCAGAAAATAGTCAGTGTCAGTGCCTACTTTCCCTTCCTTCTTTTTTACTCTCACATTTTTTTCCCTTCTCCTCTGCTCTCCCTGGTTGGAATGTGGATGTGTGGGCCAGTGTCAACTGCGGTCTACCCGCCGTCGTAGCCAGCGGCTCAAAGCCTTGGAGTCTGCAGGGCCTGGCTGCATACGCCTGCCGCTGCGCTAAGTGAATAATTGCACTGTAAGATGACCGCCGCTTCACAGCTACACCGCCGCAGCACGCCGTCCGCGATTTACACAAAGCTGCACTTATAAACACAGGGAACAAAGAAACACGGAAAACAGCTGGTTTTGCTCTGTGCCTGAAAGATGTAAGACCGTGAGCCACGGGCAAATCTTTTTTCCAGCGGGGCATTATGGGGTGTTTTAGCTGCTTTATACGGATCTAACGGGATTTGGCTAGAAAACACGCACCTCAATGCAACACTACTGCTACAGCCTGCTGTTAAAACTTCAGCTCTGCGTTTTAAATGCAAGAAAAGATAATTAACGATACAAATAATCTAAACAATTACAGAATGTTTTTCCTGCAGAGTACTACAAGAAAAAAAATCAAACAGCATAAGAAAAATGTAGTCTGATTTCCACCCTTTTCTGGTTCTACATGACTTGTATCTGTTTTCACTGAAACTAATAATAATAAAAAAAGCACTAAAATAGGCCAAGTTAGTTTTCTGGAACTACTCCCAAGCTTTAAAAGTAATCCTGCTGTAGTGATACACTGCAAAAAATGTAAATCTGATTAGGTCATTATTTCTTAAAATAAGTGCCTTTTTTCTTGAATTGCAAAAAGAACGAGATAATTTACATTTAGAATTAGAAAAAACAATTACATTGTCTTATTTCAAGTGCATATTATCTAATTATCTTATTTTAAGAGTAAAAATACTCATTCCATTGGCAAACTATCTTATTTACCTATTTAAATTAAGGGTAAATACACTTAATTTAAGTATATATATATATTTCTAGATCGTTTTTTGCAGTGTAATGGTGAAGAAATGCAAATTTTTGCGTATTTTTTAAAGAATTTCTTGTCAGTTTTCTTTTTTTTTTAAGAACTGCAATTTTTTGTATTTGTTTCGACTAAAAGTAAGAGATAGCTTTTAATTCAACAAAAGAGGTTCGAGGTTTCTCAAAAGAAGAGGCATATTTTCATCCAATAGAAAATATTACAATGAAGAAAATGTGTTTAACTATGTGATTTATGCTAATCTTGAAACAAACAGCATCAAAAATGAAGGCACATTAAATGAGCCTGAAAGAAATCAGACTTTTTAACTTCTGACCAGTTGGTTGCTGGTCAGCCTCAAGCAAAAACTTGTTACCGACTGATTTTTTGCATCATTTTTTATCTTAAAAGAAAAGCATGGCTAAGCAGTGAGCAATGGGTCAGTTATCAAAAGAAGATGATTTTTTAAAAACTTTTTTCATATTTACTTTTCTTTTTTAATTGGGTTTTTTTTTGGGGGGGCGGGGCAATTATCAATTGGAAAATGTAAGCTTTAGTAGTCAGCATGCATTAAGGTGAAGATAAACGATGACAAGAAAATTGAAATACAGCAAATTGGGAAACAGTAGGAAAAGCTTTATATGTGTACTTTTACTAAAGAGTGCTCAAAGAGAAATAAAAAAATATAGACTCTAATACAGGGAAAATATAGGGAAAAAGGCAGAGTATTTTATAACCCTCAGGTCCAAGAACTAAGCCCTGCAGAACCTCACATCATAGCCATTACACCACAGCAGATCCTCCCAACATACCCCAGAAATTCCAATTCTGTTCTGAAAAGTTTATGTAAAAACATAAAGATCAGATATCCACTAAAGTATCAAGCTCAAGATTGATAAATCTTTTCCAAAAAACATTTACTCTGAAAGAATCCTTGCAGGCAAAGAAAAACAAAAAGATTTTAATAGAAAAAGAATCACGATTCTCCTCTTCACTTAACTCTAACTCTGTTGTGCTCCATTACCACCTACACTAACTCTTTAACACGCTCATGTGGGGGATGCTGGGAGACCCTGACAGTCTAATGTGGATGTGATTAAAATATGCCAGACAAAAGTCTGCACTGCAGCTTCTGGCCATAACAGTTAAAATAAAAAAGAATCTGTTTAAGCATACAGATTCATCAGCCTCCAGCAGTAAAACTATCAGTTTGAAAAAAACGCACCAGTCTTCCGCAGGGGGAAGTCATCCCGGGGGTTGTAGACGCCCAGCACGGGGTGATTGTAGGTGGACACTCCGGTTTGTGGAGGCGAGCTCTGGTCCAAGGAGCTATGCTGAGTTTTTCTGCAGGATAAAAAAGAGAAACAGCAACACAAAAAAAATCAGATGAAAAAAACGCTAAACAAACATTGACGCCTTAAAAAAAAGAAAAAAAAGAAAAAAAAGAAACGATCTTCATGGATCTCATGGGCCTAAATGATTAAGGCATCATGCAAATCGCTTGGCAAGAAGGCAGACATGTGTCGCCATCTGCTCGCTTCCTACAGTACAAAGTGCTGTTTGCAGGAAAACTTAAGCCACATTTGGCTTTGGCCCAAATGCATGTTCCTGACAAGAGGATACACAGTCGTCTCTTCCAGAACTTAGTGGGAGGGTGAGTCCAAAGAGTGGAGAAATTTATATTTAAGTTTGAAGAAGAGGCAGAAATACACAGACACGGTATTACTCTGAGCTGTAGAAAGTCGACGCTTGTGGGCGTTTTACTAGATTTTACAACAAAGTTAACATTATTTATTCTTTGCTGGTTGGAATGTGTTTGTTATTCATTAATTTTATTATAATATTAAAACAAGATCATAAAGTGATCATCATTTCAAATCTAAAACTCAAAGCTTTAATCAGAGAAGAGGAAATAAAATTTCAAAAACCACAGATCCCAAAACAGAGCCCTGTGGGTCTTCAAATCTTATTAGAGTATTACCAACTTGATAACCACTCTAAAAATATAAAATAATATCAAAGACCTTTAAAGTATAGTTAATCTTTACTTACGTATTGCTTACAAGCATAGAAAAACATAATTCAATAATCTAAACATCATTTTTTTCAATGAAAAATGTATTCCCTTTCAAATGAAAAAAACATGTGAAGATTCCCCCAAAGGCAGATCTGAAAGCTCTTATTTTAATTTCAAATGTAATACTTCTTCTCTTCAGTTCAGCCAACTGTGCATGTGTTAGAATCTAACACAAACACAATAAGGTTCAAGACTACAGACAAAAAAAAAAAAAAACAAACAAAAAAAGGAAACAGCAATAACAGGGAGATGAAAAAAATCACCTTTCACCTGTGCTTTTATTTTGTAAAACGAGCACAAACTAAATATGCAGTGAAATTACTCACTGGCATTTCATTCAGCTGGTTTCTACTGACGTACTGTGTGTGCCTACATAACAAATGTGTCAGTCAACATCACCTTGCTGTATTAATGCCCACTCCATCGTGTGAGAAACAAAACGTATAACAAACAAATCTGAATTAGCAAGTGTGCACACCTGTAAAAGAGCTCCACTGGTATTATAATTAACCTCAAGGACTTTCAAACAAGAGCTGCTATCATCAGCATCCAATATCCTCCTCTCACCTTTATGCCTGCGTGTTTGTTTGCTCTCCTCTGTCATTCAGTTAAACTCAAACAGAGTGGGCAGGAGGACAGGAAGCATGGCGACAGGTTAAAAACGCAATCTACTGCGTCATTATTTAGTGTAGTGTTTAGCTTTTTTGTTTAAAAGCTGAGTTGATCTAAGTTCAACTTACCGGTACCAGTAGGGAGCATCGTTGGGGAGACCTCCTTGATTGAGGCTCCGCTGGGCCAGCGCCTTCTTCTTGTTCAAGACGAACTCCTGCAGGCGCATTTTCACCTCGGTGCTGGCAACAGCACCTGATGTACATCGGAAAACAGAGAAAAATTTTACCTCAAAATAAACAACAAACCCAACATATGATTTACCTTCATCCCTCAGCTCAAGTAAAAAAACAAAACAAAAAAAAAAAAACTATATTCTCAATATTTATTAGTTTGAAAGATACAAAATCACAAAGTTTTATGTATTTTGGGGAGTTTTAACACTGGATATATAACACTAAATATATTATACTTCATATATCAAATGTTTAGTGATGTTCCGACTGATCTTGCACTATTTGGCAAAGAAATTTGGATCAGTATCAATTTGGAAGGGAAGAATATAATTGCATGGCTAATTTTTCAGATTTTAACTGAAAAAAACATTTAAATATCAAGTATCATTTTACATCATAATTATGCATTACTTTATGTTTGCAACTGTATTAAATTAAACTTGTAGTATTTGAATTCATGATTCTGAACCACTTAAAAGCCACCATATGTTGGAACATAATATAAGCTAAAATTGATATATTTAAAAAAATAAATTCCTTTTTTGTCCCCTTAAGTTTAAAAGAGAAATCTTAAATGCAAGCTCTGATCTATTTGTTTAAAAACTTGCTATAAAAGTCATTTAGATATGACATGCAAGGATGTACTGACAAACAAATGATCATCTGCATAGAGTGTGATATTTACCGTCCTTCAAATAAATAGTTGGTGCAGGAAAAAAGGACGTAAAAAAAAAAAAAAGGATGCCAAACTGATCTGAAAATTCTGCCAGCACCAACACCAAATATCACACTAGTACAGATACAAGGGAGTAAACACTGCAACCCTCTGACTCCTTGTTTGCCCTAACATTTTCCATACAGTGTGTGAAACCACTCTCAAGGACTCCGGTCCACTTTCTTTCAATGAACTTGTTGAGAGAGAGTGGTACAGTGGTAATAGCTCGGCCTGGCCTGAGCCAAGGCCACCGGGCTATTACGGCTCGTTCACCGCTGCAAATAGGCCGGCTCTCCAAGTGAAATGGAAACACATATGAAGCAAACACAACAGTTATTTCAACCTTGGAGCTGTTTGAATGGGGAGCTCTTACTGAGCCTGGCAGATGTGAACGAGCTGCCTGATGGCTGTTTGACATGGAAAACTATTTATGGAGCTATTTAGCTGTTGAAGTGTCTAGTTTTGTTTGTTTTGCTTATTTTCCTGTTAAAAGACAGAATCTATAATGAGAGGTGTCAAATCTTTTGCCGTAGTTTCTCCTACAGATTCTAACCTTTTTTTTCACGTGCTGTGCTGTGAAAAAGTATTCATATTTCCTAAAGCTTTGCTAGTTTCGTCACCTTACAACCACAACCTGGAAGGTATTTTTAATAAATTCTGGTGACGTCTTGAATTCTCCCAGACATTTCGGTCATTTGGGTGTAGATCAAAGGCTTTGAATAGGGCCTCTGTAGCACCTAAAGATGCTTTAATCTGAATATTTACACGTTTTTCCATCCAGGCAAAAATCGAAATTGCGATGGTTTGGTTTTCTTTAACCCATTGTAGAATAAACCCCAAATTTTAAAACTTAATTTGTACCTCAGTGTAGAAAACACTTACAGCTTTTGTTTTTGACTTTGACTAGGCCGTTCTAACAAATTAAAATTAACAGAGCACTATCCAAGCTTTTTGCCACATAGGCACAAAGCAGTAAATATGACCCGAGAGTAAAAATACTCTTGGGTCATAAAAATGTGATAAAAATAAAACTAATTTTACAGAGAAATATTGTATTTATATTTTATAGGTAGTCTGATTTTTGAGTAAAAGTCATTGGATATTTGTGGTCCAAACTACTATAGAATAAGAATAAATGCTAAAAGAGTGGTTAATAAAAGACAAAAGCATCAGTTTAAAGAAGATTTACATTTTTTTTTAGCAAATGCAAATTTTTATTTATTTATTTGTTCAAAAAATGCAAAGAATCTTAATTTTTAAACAGATTTTATTTACTGATTAGGTTGCTTATGTTGGTTATTGGTTAGGTGGAATTTTACTTAATAGCATTGGAGTCAAAGGGGAAGCATATTTTTACCAAGGGACTGTAAAAAAGTATCTTATTCTCTTTCAACTTGACAATTTTGCGATGCTTTGTACAGGGAATGAAGTCACAATGAAGCCCATTCAAGTTTGAGGTTATAGTGACATAACTAACTGGCCTGCATAAAATAACGAAAAAAACAACACAGATTTTAAGACAGGGTTGCTTTTTTTTTAAATAGAAATTTTCTAACTTTTGGGACAGTATGGTCTGATAAAGACTATATTTATATACGTATGTTTAAGCCAGAATGATTTGAATGATCCATAGGAGTCATGGGAGAAAGTCATATGGTCAGAAGAGACCAAAATAACCAAATATTTACATTTATATACATGTTTAAGCCAGAATGATTCTACATTTAAATATGACTTCCCTACGACTCTAAGCCACTTACTCTCCTGGCCCCGCTCCTTGTTCTTCAGCAGCTGCAGCTTCTGCTCCCTTTGTTGTTTCTCCAGCTCCTGCTCCAGACGGTGGTTCTCCATCTTCCTCTGGTGCTCCAGGAGCTCCTGCTGGTGCTTCAAGGCCAGGAGCTCTTGCTGCTGCTGTACAATGAAAAAACATTGGGGAGTCTTCTCATTAGAAATAATGAAAAAAAAAATACTAACTTTATTTCACAGCTTCATAACACCTCTCAGCTGCCTAATATGACGCCCTCATTTGAGTTCCCCCTCAAAACAGATTCAATTTGCTGCCTTTCCTGCTCTAAAGAAAGTATATTCATTCAATTTCTGCTCTTTCTTAGTTGCCATCTGAAGTAAATAACTCTGACAGCTGTTCAAAGCCATAAAATTAAACCTCTGCCATTCCTTAAAAAAAAAACCTCAGGCCAAAAGCTTTACTCTTTAAACAAATATAAGCAATTTAAATGGGAACAAGGCTTTAGCAAAACACATAATCCAATCTGCTTACTTCCTCTTCGCCCTGTAAATTCTTTTTAAAAAGACGGAGGAGCATCTGCTCAATGCTCTAGATGTAAATCTAGTCATTTTTTCCCGCTAAAAACCCATCTGCGGCCTGACAGCCTGTCCTGCACCCAAAGGTCAGGAATAAAATCGGCTACAGAAGCTAAAATGTTCCCACAAATGCCTCCTCTTCATCACGCACAGAGGTCCTTAAAAACCAGGCAGAGACCCTTGCTGTGAGTCATTGCGAATATAATCACGACTGGCACTGAAATTGGCTTTTGCAATAAACAGCAGGTTGCTATAATGTTTTCGCTCCCATAGAGATTCCCTTATTTCAGTTCAATTCAACTCAAGTTAATTTCTATATACTTTTCATCATTCACCTCCATTCTAGTGATAGAATGAAGGATGAAAAGTGGTCAATATGTCGTCCAGCAGTCTAAGCCTATAGCAGCATAGCTATAAAGATAGCTTAGAAGAACTTGAACTGATTTGGTTTAGCAATGGTAAAAAAAGTAGTTAAAACCAGCATTACCTTGTGTAAAAAACGGCAATTGTTCCATAAAAATATTAAATTGCAGCAACAACAACCATAAAATGTTTGGGATAACTAAAAATAGGCTTTCTGGTGAAGATGGTGCAGTGTTTTATGCAGAATGTATTAAGCCAGATTGAAGGGTTGGACACACAGGTTCAAACTTTGACTAGGCCACTCAAAAGCCTTCATTTGTTGGTTTCTTTTCTATTGTGGGATGAGATCACCTTACCTATCACACCTAATGACCAATATTTGATCAGTTAAAAGCAACGCCACACATTCAGCTTCTTTTTATGGGCATTCCGCAGCAGGTACATGAGCTCGTGTTTATGGTAAGGGACCCCCAAAAATGAGGTTGTGAATAAATTTGTGGCTTAGGTCAAACAAGGAAAGGGAGCTCTCCGGACCACTTGCTTCGGATCTCTTCTTGCCTTTAAACCGACGTTGGGAGAGGGGGTTTTAGCGAGTGGGGAGGCTTAAAGTGACCTCCTCGCCCACATGCACACAGATACTTACACACCTAAAACCCCTTGTGGCTCAGCTGGCGAGAGGTGTGTACATTTTTTTTCCTCTCCCTTCTAAAATACAATTTGAACAACTCTTTTAATGAGATTTCCCTGCCCTCTGCATGCAGGAAGCTGCAGACATGCAAACGAGTGAGTGCATGCAAATGTTTACCCTCAGCCGTGTGTACTCAGCTCAACTCTATGCAAACTGGGCCTGGCTTTGACAGCGTGTGTGTTGAAATTTAAGAGGATGTGTATATTTTCATGTTTTCTAAGGCAATTCTGTGCACACCGGTGTGTGTTTATATGTGTATACAAGAGGCTGTGAATAGAGGTGATTGAGGCTGGGAGCTCCACGCCGAATCTGTGCGTCACTAACATCTGAGTGGTCCTGCCGCTCAACCACAAGCCAAGAGGACCCTTTAGCTGGCATCACTCATTTACCAAAGCATCACAACACAAAATGAAAGAAGCAGCATTTGGCAAATAAACTTAAAAGAGTGGAAGGTTAGGAAATTAACAGAAGAAAACAGCCAATGCGTCTTATACTTTTTGGTTTTTCCTCACATTTACAGTGACAAAAATGTTTATATATTATTAAAGAAGCATAATTTGGTAAATGTTTGATTAATAAGGCAATATTCATTAAAGAAAAGCACTCTTCACAAGGTGAAAGATCAAAGAACATCTTATTTGGACGCTTTACAGTTTTTAAGTTTATCAACGCGTATTGCTGTGTTTAAAGGTGCATCTGCAACTTTTTTCTTTTTTCTTTATTTCAAACTAAAATCAAAAACAAACTCTCAGTTTGCATAAATATTGTTAAAAAAACTATAGTTCAAAAAATTGTTTCTGAAGAAGTTTTGGAAAACTTATCAGGTCAAAAACCCTTCAGTCAAATACAACTTATATTTAATATTCACTGTGATTTGACAAATTTTGGTGACACAATACATCATAAAAAATATTGTTAAATCAAAGGGAATTGGTAGTTATCAATTATTTTTTGTCTTTTCGTTTTTTTTCAAACAAAACTTATTCAAATCTATATTAAGAAGCAGAAGATGCGTAAATTTAGCAGTATAAGAGAAGTCAGCCAAGAAAAAAAAGAGAAACTACAAAGAGAAAAGGAAATTTGGAAGAATTGAAAGAGAATACAGGATGAGTAAGTGAAAGAAGGATGTTAAAGATAAAAACAGGAAGTAAGGAAGAAAAAGCAAGAGATCGGTGAGTCACAAACAGGAAGAAAGACAGACAGAATCTCTTTTCTACACAAATAAATCCTTAGATAGGAAAAAAAACTCAATGATTTATAGATTTTTCACAACATGTACATAAATAAATGACACAAAAATCCAACTAAACAATCAAACCACATTAAGAAACAAGTTATCCCACCATGAGATGTTTGATAAGGTTAAAAGGAATAAAACTGACTTGATTCTAAGAGCTGTTCTGTTCTAATTGATTCCACCTTTAGGTTTTTAATCATCTAGCTATTTAAAGTAAACTTTAAAACATCCATTTTTCACACCTTCTCTGAAAACAGACGCATATCTATATTACTCTCATATATCCGCGGCGTTAAAGACTATGAAGCTAAAGTGGCTTTCTGTCTGTGCTCTCGCTCTCTGCTCAAACTGAAGCCATTTAAAGCTGATGAGGCGACTCTTTGCTGCTGAGTTCAGTCTGTTATCGAAGACTCTCGAGGCTGAATAAATTAAGAGCTGTCTTCATTCGGTTTGGAAGAGACTTAAATAGGGACGGTTGTACAAGGCTGCTGGTTTATGTGGAATAATTGGACTAATTCAAAAATCTATACGCTCTTGCTTTGCATATTTTCAATGAATTCCATTAAATTTGGCGTTATTTTTGCAGCCGCAGATGAACAAACTGTGTTGAAAGCAACAGAGGGGGGAAACCCTCCTTAATGATCGTCTATAAATAATCCTAATGGTAAATGATGTACCTTAATGTGCTCCTGGAGCTGGGCCTCATGCTGGCGGGACAGCTGCTCGTGCTGCCGCTGGAACTCGGCGATGAGGATCTGCCTCTGGATCTGCTGCTTCTGCTTCAAGGACAGCAGCTCCTGCTGCAGCTGCTGCTCGCGCACTGAGGCCGCCACCACGCCGCCGCCGCCCCCGCCCGACCCTCCCAGAGGACTGGGCGAATGCTGGCCCGGAGGGGACAGCGAGGACACCTGCTGCTGCTGGTGGTGGTGGTGGTGGTCCACGCGCAGGTCCATGGGGATGGCAGCGGGAGGGAGACGCAGGGGCAGCGCAGAGTTGATGTCCACTGCAGAGGAGGGGAGAAGGGCAAAAGATGAGGGCGGCGGACCTTGTAGTTTTGAAACAAGCCAAAACATCCAAAATGGTGTTAGAGATGTAGGACAGTCAGGTCATCGAAGCATTGTTTAATTACATCCATCTGAGTTCAACTAAATCACTGTTTAAGATGGATAAAACTAACATAATAGCACACTGACTAAATAAACTAAAAGGCATTTTGGCCTACTTTGTGTTGTCAAACGGGTTCTATTTAATCATATTTATTGACCTAGTAGTATTAAAAGTTGTATTCAAAGCTAACATATTTTCCGGACAATAAGCCGCTACTTTTTTTCCCATGCTTTGAACCATGCGGCTTATAAGAAGGTCCAGCTTTTTTGTGGATTTTTTTCCTAACTGCCAGAAGGGGAAGTCAAAGTTGGAAATGAAAGAATAAGGGGCTAATTTTCAGTTAGCACAAGAACATGCTAGCAGCAGTTTTGACGGAGAACAAATGTCCAGAAATCACACATTTTGACATTTATTTGCCACATTAAATGTGTCGAACCAATGAAGAGACTGGGCTCAACTCGTCTCATCTTTCATTAGAAGCCATTACTGCTGCGAAAACAAGCTAACAGGAGCTAGCATTCTTCTTATTCTCTTCACTAGGGGCTGTATGTAGAGCTCCCCCTACAGGTTTGGTGGGGGACAGTTCAGTAGATATCAGCGGCTTAAAGCCCGGTGTGGCCTATATATGTACGTTTCAAGTTTTTCAAAAAACTTTGTGGGTGTGGCTTATAGTGCGGTGTCACAACCCGATCCGTCCTGGAAGCATGATCCGTTCTGTGCATGCGCGAACAGATACACATCCGGGTGTCCATAAATAATGTAATTATGGTACTAAAACTACTTATTTCTATCCTTAGCTCACTAAAGAAGAGTAATAAACATCTGTAAAAAAAAATGTTTATGACTTTTGTGAGACAATTTTTATTCGTTAAAGTGCTTCTCTGACGTCATCATGGGACATGCTCAGAGCAGTCCGGCGAAATATGATTAAAGCATGTTTATCTGCATTTTAGTTGTTTCTTTCTTTAGATTACGCACTATATAGCATAAGGTTAAAATGAAACGAAAAAGAAAAACTCGAAAACACTAAATTTATGTTTAAATCCAAAGCCAAAAAAGTTAGCTCCCGGAAGTAGCGTAGGATCCCATTTCCGGTGCAGATTGCGCAGATTTTAAGGCATTTATTTTCTCAAGAAATACATTATTAACCTTTAAGACATTATATTTTTGTACTCTTTGGGGAGGAAAAACGTAATTGAGGTATTTTTAACAAAATAAAATCGAGGACGACCCGGAAATTATGCACATGCGCCATCAGCTAATTTGCGCATCATTTCATTTGCGCTCAATTGCACGATCCGATTTTTTGAGCGGATCGTGCTTCGATCAGGTAGCACAGCGCTCTTTAGTCCGGAAAATATGGTAATCAAATTACTCAGGTAGTAATCAAACCTTGGGTATGTCGTTGTAAAATGTGGTTAATCACACTTAATATTTTGGTAGTTTTTCTCTTAAATAATAAGTTCTCAATTTTTTAAATATCTTACTTTACATATGTCAGGAAAAATGAACTGCACCACAATTCTGTGAAAATGTTTGAATTTTACAAAAGCTTTGCTGTTTTAGTAGAGTTTTGCATGATCTAGGCAGACTGTTGCTCCAGTTCATTCTCAGTCTATGTGGTGAAGCATATTCCCCAAACGTCGGATCCTCAGATGTGCATTTTTGACACAGAAGCAAGACAAACGCGGCAGGATAAATAACCAAAGCACAGCACAAGGTTAAAAAGAAATGGTTGCAACATGTTCCTCTCGTTCTGTAGACCGTAGAAGTGTTTTCATTTTTAGCACAACTGCAAGGTTATGAAGCTGAGAGGGGAATTAAATCGAAAGCTTTTCAAGAGCGGTATTTAATTAGTCTACCTCCTCGAGAAAGTGCCCAGAAGAGATGTTTTTTTTAAAGCTTTGAGATTTTGATTAATTAGCAAAATCTCTCTTTTTTTTCCCCCTCCTGTAATTTTAGGCATTATATACATTAGAAGTAAATTACAAGACTATTTTAAGCAGCGCTTCCGATAAACAGCTTGTAAAACAAAACAAAAAAATCTAATCTGAGGTAATAAATGGATAACAGAGTCATAAATGAAGCACTAAGATTAAACCTATTGATATATTTCCTTTCATTCAGTTAACATTTCTAAGTAAAAAGCCGATCTTTAATCAGTGTCGCAAATGAACTCAAAGTGTGCACCACGTGTTAAAATAAAACCAGTTCAAAGATCCTTTAAACACCTTAAAGCCAAACCCTGATAAGCAAAAAGAAAAACTGCTTCACTGGTCTCCTGGCGTCTGTGACTGATGCCTCACTTCCACACGGAGCTCCAGCGAACAACCTGACAAAGCCTGCATTGACCCCCGGGCTGGCGAAGGTGAAGAGCTTGTGCAGCAAATCACTTCTCAGGAAGCCCACCAATCCGGCCGGCTTCCTACCAATAAATCTGAACAAACAGGAGCCGATTGGTCCGATTATTTGCCTACATGTTTGCGGAGAGTTGAGCGAGAGCTGGGGATACTTTCCGTTAATAAATCGGCAAACAAAACATCACCGCTGCCCTAATTGGTGGCGGAACATGACAACAACAACATGCGTGCACACTCTTAGACTTTCTCTATTTCTGCCACAGGATATCTCATGCATTTATTCACAGCTTGATGCTTTCCCCCCTCAGACTTGCAGTAGCTATGAAAGATTGCCAAACTGTAAACGCACATCCAAGCAGCTTTGTTACTGTTGAGCCCATATGGCGCCTGTTCACTTAAATGCTCGACTTTCACTGTGTGCAGCAGGTGAAACACCCCCCCATGCGGTTATTGCTGCAGGAGAACAGTGCAACAACATGCAACAAGGTCCTAAAGGACAGCAGCCGTGTGTGTATATGGTGGAGTTACAACAACACATCTCGTAGGCTGCTTGAACTAATTGAAAAGGAGACTCTCTGTTGCAGCCTGCAAGACACGGCTCTCGGATCTTGCCCGTGAGGAAAAGATAAGAAAGAGAAACCTTTATAAGAAAGCAAGAGTTGTATGAAAAGTTAACCTCTGAGTCATTCAGGCTGTTCTAGCTTCACCTGAATCTGCATGAGTCACTCTGCAGCTAAAGGCTGTGAATCAATGCCTCATCTGATGACTTTTAGGGTCAAAGGATAAAAGCGTTCTGTAAAGTACAAAGCTGACACTACCAATTATACCCTTCCTCTTTAAAAAAAAAAAAAAAAAAAAACTTAGCATGTGGGGATAAAAATGTTTATTTTTAAGGAGATGCATCAACCGAATGTAGATGTGTGGCGGATTTTTGAAAAACTCCGAAGCGGCAGCCCTTCGGATTTCTCTAAATCCCCCATGTGTGCAAGAAATAGTTGGATTTCCCTTTGATTCTTCTGTTAGCTTTACCAAAAGCAGTGTTTATTTATATCCCCAGCTGAAAATAGCTCAATATACCTTAACTCTGAGATATTCAAAGGGTTGCAAACATTTCCAAATCCAGCGTGTTCCCTAACGGACAGAGGTTGATAGTTTAGAAAGTTGGACAAAGTGGAAACTCTTAGCTGCTGAAGTCCTGCTCTCTCTCGCTTTCTCGCAGCCTGAATAACCTGCAAACATGTCCTGACAGTTTCCTTTTAAATAGTGTCTTAAACTTCTGTGTTTTCCTATATAATAACTTCCACACTACAAAGGAGTGTAATCAGCGTAGTCCACTATAGCCTAGGTGTCTAATTCTCGAGATAAAAAGCAGCACATTTTGACCCTAAAAGTCAAAATATGCAAATTTACCTTACTATTTTTTACTGCCTTTTTTTAATAACATATTTCTATTATAAAACTACAACTTCAGATATGAAAGGACATTTAAATGATTAAGTTCCTGTCTTGCTCGTATGCTTAAGTCTCGCTCCGTCTGTCACCCCTTGAAATATCTTATGACAAGTCTTGACATGCAGTTTCTTTTTATAATTCTTTTGATAATGAAATTACCTCATATTGATTCTACCTGGTAGATTTTATGTATGATAAATCAGAAAAAGATTTGTTTTTTCCATCCCCCAAACAGTTTCTGTTCAGAGCTTAAAGTGGACCGGTTCCAGAAAGCAGCACGTTTGTTGGTGCATCTCTAATAAAGTCCCAACAAAGCTTCACCTGATTCTGCATGAGTCACTCTGCAGCTTAACCAATTTATCATCTCAAGTTCTGTAGGGTCAGATAAGTTTAAAAGCAAAGCAATCAGAAATAACAGTATTAGTGAAGCTTAGTGAAGGAGGACAGGTTAAGGAAAATAACGATCTGCATTTGTCAAATAGCGCTGCAGCATTTTGGTTTCATCCATAACTCACTTAGTCTGCTTTGCCCCCTCCCAAACCTGGACAAAATGTTCGGGGTCTCTGAGAATGATGCACTCATCTACAGTGATGCATGCAAACCCACAAACACACCTCGCTCGGCATCTCTGCCAACCTGGCAGCGCTAATTGCTCACCAGATGAAAGCGGGAGCTACAGAAAGAAGTCAGTGCTGTCGTTACCCATCAGTGCTCCTCTTTTCGTCCTCTCCTCCTCACCAATGCTCCGCTTCCTCCCCACCCCTCCCTTCTTCTTCTTCTTCCTCCTCCTGCGCTCTTCTTTCTTCAATCTGTTACAGGGACTGACAGCATGCTCCCCTTCCTGCTCGTCCGACTTCTCCTCATGCTCTCTGCCTCTGCCGTCCTCCACTCTTGTCTTAACCTGATGGGTGTCTCCCTTCGCTCCTCTCTTTCTCCTCCCCTCGTCCTCAGCTTGCCCAGTGGTGACATCACGGGGCAGTCTCAGGCATGCAGCCTGTTTATTCTGCAGCTTTTCCTGGAACCAGCGTGTCTCTCTCTATCTCTCACATACACAGCACTCCCTCTTGCTCTGTCTCCTCACCCT